TGGAGGTGTCTCCGTTTTTGCTTACATTCTTGGAGATGCTGATTGATCTAGGTAGGATTCCTTACAATCGCCTGATCAAAGGCCATCAAGCGCATATTACGGGTAGTTCGGTTGCGATCGCACCGTTTACGCGTGGCAAACACGAGCGCGCTAGAGCCTGCTGTGGTGTAAAACGACCAGCTTGAAAAGCTAGAGCAAAAAATGCGTCCATGGCGTTTTCTGTGCCGCAGGAGGACAATTGGTAAGATATGTATGTCGCTCTCCCATACGTGTTTTTGAATTTGAATTTCTACACGGATGCTTTGAAACTTGACGGAAGGGTCGGTGGAGAGATATTTCGCAGGAAACTCCAGAAATTTTACCATAAATACTATAGTTAGACCTGTTGCAGAAAGAGTGAAGGTAACTTTGAAGATGTGTAGTAAAGTGATCCAACTTACAAAGGGTTCCAACGCTGCATTTTAACGAATTATCATTAAATGTGATATAGATCGGTTAGTTTATAGGCAGAAAGGGCTTCCGCTCTGAAATCGTCTGAAAAAAAGTGAACAGAAAATCAAAGAAAACTCTGCACGCGGGCAATGGGGTGCTTTTCACTTTTGCATCGTATTTCAGCCGCCAAACTACGGGATTGTAATTGAAAATGGAATCAACTAGCTACTCGTATTATAATAAAAAATCACTTAAATCATTTTTAGGTTCCACTTTGCTGTTTTGTTTTTTCCTTGTTCGTGTATTTTTTAATTATTCTTATTAGATACGAGTTCATTAGTATAGACTTATTCATCCAGATGTATTTATGAAAATCCTTGGAAAAAATAAACTTTTGCTTTCCATTTCCATTCCGTTAACTCACTCATATTTTCGAATATCGTATACATCAGTACTCCCTTTTCAAGAGCATCTGTGCGAGTCTTCATCTCATGAAAGTATACGTCATTTAATTCACCATTAATGTTCGGCATATTATTTTAAATCAAATCCTTTCTTCTTTATTTGAAATTAAAAATTAAATAGTGCTTCCGGAACTTTAGAAAACGATCTAGTTTTCACAATGTTTTTCACTCAACTGAATGCCAACAATGAAAGCTCTATTAAAACTGATTAAATAAGCATGTCATTCAATGGGTTGGCACAATTAAATATAAAAGAATACTTAAAAGTTTCTATTCGTAGAATAGATTGAATTCGTGTTAAAAGAAAAAAAAAAATCCCTTTGTGCTATATGTAGTTCGTATGGTGTAGCGGCAAGTGCGAGATGTAGTAGGGCAATTCATCTACACGCGTAAATGCCTCGTAACCATGCCAACCTCGTAAACTTACATACT